AAGGAAATTTAATACCAAATAGGCCTTGGAGGTTGGATAAGAGTTGGTGAAAGAGAGAGCCAGAGGGCATTCCAGATAGCAATGTACACAAAGGCATAAAAAAGCATAACATGGGTGAGAAAAAAATGTAGAGATTGGTCTAAATGGAGTGGAACATTCACAGTGGTGATAGTAGAAAGTAATATTGGAAGACAGTGATACAATGAGGCAAAGACTTGAATGGCAGTCCAGATTTTTATCCTGGAGGCAATGAGTAGTCCTTGAGATTTTTGAGCAAAAGAATGGCATATGAATATAGCAGTATAGGAATATAAATCTGGCTACAGTGTGAAGATAAATAGGAAAGGGAGAGATTGGAAACAAAGAGATCATCATCTGGGCTATGGCAATCATCCAGGTGTGGAATGAGGTGAGTCTAAAATGGAGTTCTTACAGAAGAGGTGGGAGGTGAAGAACAGATGTATGACCTTGCAAAGGAGTGTCAGAACATAGTGATCAATGTTATCATGAAACAATTAAGGAATAAAAGAAGCAGAAAGTTCAAAATGGCTTTAAGTTTAAAAGCCTCAGTGATAGTCAACAAAGATAAGAAAATTAGAAAAATGATCAGGTTTTAATAAGTATCTGCTTTTTTAAAAGACAAAAATCAAAATACGCCAATTTTTAAGTTATAACTCCATCTATCTAAAGGATACAAAATTTAATCTAGTATAGAAACAGTGATTGAACCACCCATAGAGTACCTTCCAGTAGCTACAGCCAAAACCTATTTATTCCCATTGAAAACTCAAAATAATTGTAAACAACCTTCATCATAAATACAACTCTGAAAAATATAATATATTTAATTAAATGAAAATACAGTTATTCATACTATGGATTAATTTTGATAGATATTTTCCTAATATGGAATTCTTACTATAAAAATACTTACCAGTAAAACAAGTTGTAATTGGTATCAAAGTGGACACCCATCCCAAGTTTCCAAGAGCAGACTAAATATTCCCAGTTGTAATATATACAATCCATATCCCGAATTTTAGTTTCCAGATTTCCTAAGGAATGAATCAACTGTGAATGCTTAAAAGGCATGATGATGAATCATTTGGGAAATCGCTATGCAATTTTACTTTATCTCCTTTGACCTCTCCATTTAATTTAGCAATCAACACAATCAGGAATATTCCAAAAGGAAGTTGTTGGAAATCACTTCACTGTAAGTGGGGCATGCAAAATCGAAAACATTTGAGGACTCATTTACTAGTGTAAGTACTAGTGTAAGCATATGCAAAAGTACTAAATTAATAATTCCAGGGTGCTCTGAACAGTTGAACAAATGCTCGCATGCCTATTTATTAATATGACCCCAAAATTGGGAACTATATTAGCCTAATAAGATGTAGGTTTTGCCAAATGTATTTGTCGATTTAAAGAATTCAAGGTGGCCAGTCACCCACTCTTAAGAAGGATTCTATTTTGTGCCACACTCTCAATTGTACAATACAATCTCATGTATAAGAATTAAAGGACTTATTCAAGATATGGATTTTTCTGACAGTATTAAATGTGAAATGAGAGCTTTGTTTTAACCTTGTGGTGATGTCGAATAAGTAGCTTCTGACCATGAACTTTGAACTGCAGATCCGTTTGTGCATTGCCCTTGCAGAAGCGTGTGTATCTTTGCTTCAACGCCTTTGTTAAGATCAAACCCGTCTTTATAATGCAGATTCTTAGTAATGATAGTCTGATAAAATGATAAGACAAAGGCAAGTTTATAAACAGTGATGGTATCATTACAAGCCACATTCATAAAACTGAAGAATTCCCAATATCTAAGAAATCTCTCATGATTGTCTGATACTATGTCCCAGATATATTTCTGGGAGAACTCACTTCTGCATATTATATCATTTGATAAGATTATTTGAATCTTTTTTTTACACTGTTTAAGTCTATATAACAACTTCTCTCATGGAAGACAGAACACCAAAATGGGTTAGACTTTCTTGCTATAACAAGCTCAGATTGTGTCAGATATTTTTGCATTTGAATCTTAACATCTCATTTAAAAAAAAATTCTGGAAGAGAAAAAAAGCTCTATGGCAGGACTTAATCTATAACCAACTTGAAATCAAAAGACAATTTTCTCATTCCATATGCATATTACATGAAAAATGATTTATCACCTTTCAAATGTCATTTGACTTCTTCAGGACTCATACAAAGTAAAATCTTGGGAGTAACTGGAGAAAGCTAGACAAATTATGAGCTCCTAGAGGACTAAAATCATATATCGTTTATTCTTGTATTCTTGATACCTAGCAGAGTGCCTGATACAAAAAATGTTTCTCAATAAATGTTTGATTTAAATTATCCCTTGAAACCACCTAGCTGAATTGGAAAGGTAACAGAATTCTTGTACAACAAAAATCCTTAAATAAACATGCTTGTTGATTATGTAGTTAATAATTTAATAAACTTTTATTGAGTATTAACTACAATATATGCAAAAAAGTGTTCTATGGGGAGAGTACAAAGATAAATAAGACTTGATTCCTATAGAGAAAAAACTCACAGTCAAGTAGCATATATATGACCCATATATAGGTATATAAGTAACTATAAAATATGGTAAAATGTGTAAATACTCTTCGAACCCACTATCTATGGTACTAAGTAATGTTTTCCTAGACTTCCAATGATAGTCTTAATACTGAGTGGGGTGAAAATGAATGTGGCAGCTTGTTATATCTTAATAATAACTATTAGGATATGGGAATCAGAGTAAACACTGACATCAGGAATCACAAGAAATTCCTAATAATCACTCTGATATCACAAACACATGTTTTACTTACCTTCCAGTTTTCACTATCAATATTTCTGTATTTTAATTCATATTCTATTGTGCATTCCTTAAAATTATCCAGAGACAGTGAAGGTTGCCATTGTAAATAGAGAAAACCTAAATATCCAGGATCCACTATCTCAAAATCCTGAGGGGGTTTAACTGAAATAAAATAAAAATATTTTTACTTTTTTACTTTATTTTATGATAAAAACTGCTAAATTTAGATTACTTCCAATGTACATCACCGATGAATGGATAAACTGTGGTGCATCCATACAATGGAATATTATTCAGCCATAAGAAAGAATGAAGTACTGATACATGTTACGACATGAAGAACCTTGAAAACATTAAGCTAAGTGAAAGGAGGCAGTCACAAAAGACTTCATATTGTATGATTCCATTTATATTAAATATCCAGAATAGGCAAATCCATTGAGACAGAAAGTAGATTAGTGGTTGCCAGAGGCTGAAGAGAGAAGATACTGAATGGATATGGGGTTTTTTTGGGGGGGTGATGTAAATATTTTGGAATTTGACAGTGGTGGCTGAATATATTCACTTTGTGAGTATACTAAAAACCACTGAACAGTTTGTTTTAAGGGGTGAGTTTTATATTATGTAAATTATATTTCAATAAAGCTGTTAAAAAATCTGAATTATTGCTGTATAGTTATCCTCTTCTTAATAAATCACATATGTAAAATGTGACATTGCCTAGCTAGGTACTACATTTTCACAGAAACTAGAAATTCAACATGGAGTTACCTTTGTGGTCATACAGACTATAACTTGGTCTAGGATGGGAACACTTTATTACATAAATTTCTCTAATAGCAAAAAACAAACAGTATTAATTCAGTGTTTACTATATCCATATAACATCATGGTGTGGGCGCGCGTGCGCACACACACACACACACACACACACAAGCTAGAAAATATAATTACAATAGCTAAGTGCCTTAAGAATTAGGGGAACAGACAGATCTTGTTGGTCTATCCTGGTTAATTAAATCCTCTAATAAATTAAAGTTCAGAGCTATCCTTAGAGTATGGCAAACCAGGGCCGCTCTTTGGAAGGATTTAAGAATTATCAGCAGGCAGCTGAGTAGAATGACATCAAGAAACAACTCCTTTTATTTTGGAGGAGGAGGCAGTGGGAGGCAATGGCTCTCACATCTAGTAACTTAAAAAGCAACGAAAACAAATAAACAATAATTCTATAAATTTTCCTATAGGCAAATCTAGTAGTACTATACTATTACGCTCATGTTGACTTTCTGCTAATAATTTCCTCTCATTTTTACACGTTGTTTAATACTTCATAACACTTGAGGTGAGAAAAAGAATAAATACACAGGAAGAAATTGTGGACAAATTATAATTTGATGTGGGACCCCCTCCATGTACCAATTAAGAAGGTCTCCATTGAGGAAGAAATAGAAATCCTGTTGTTTCAACTTTTATGGTTAGAAATCTTTGTCACATGCGTTGTTCTAATTACCTTTGGTAATAAGAATAGTTTATTAGACATGATTTAATAATTCTGTAATTATTTTTAAATTTTACTTTAAATTTCTGTGTATTTTTCTTATTTATCTAATTGTCTTAAAAGTTAAGGATAGAAGTAAGGAAAGTTCTAGTTAGTTGTGTACCAGGCAGTGAGGTTTCAAATAATTAGCCTATTCATTAGATAAGACTATATGAAATGTATGGAAAGTATCTTTCAGTCTAGCTTTTATGTCACAAAATGTTTATTATCATCAGTTACCTTATACATGAGGCTGGCTACTAAGAACATATCTTTTGTGCATGGATATCCTGAATTACTTCCAGTAACAATCCATCTCCTTGTGATGCATTTTCTTAGGGTAGGTTGAAAAGACAGTAAATATCCCTAATTTTAAAACTATTCCATTGTTGTTTTACCTTTTATTTCAGCATCTGAAGACAAAGTAGAGCCAAAAGCAGTGCAAATAAGAATGGCATATAGACATCTGATATCCAAATGAATGAAAGCCATTTCTCTAAGATCTAATACCTTGAAATTTTCACTCTAAGAAAAAAAAAATACATTTAACTTTATCTTACTTCAAATAACCAAATGACTAAATGTGATTGAAAATACATTTGGGAATTCTCTGCATGTTTTCTACCAAGAATTGGTAAAACCATGCCTCTCTGAACCATAGACACAGAAAAAAATCAAGTTTGGAACCAATATAATTAGAAAGGGAGGATTCTGGTCTCATACTTCCTATAAGAGTAAATCAAAGCAAAATAAAAACCTATATCGCTTCACCCCCAAACCCCGACTCCCACACTTTTCTATACACCACATGCTGTGGTCAAGATGGAATGACTTCAAATAACCTTCAGCCTGAAGACAGAGCCAGACCCACCAGAGTGTTCTTATTGGCTCACAGGGCCTAGCAACAAAGAAAACACACTGACACATATACTCTTTTCTGAAATAAGAAGTTTGAAAGTTATCTGACTATTGAGAATGTTTAGAACCTACGCCAAAGCCTCAGATAACTGAAAACTTTGCTCCATTTCTTCATAAATATTAAATCATTTTCTACTCTATTATCTATTCCACTCTTTACTGTGATTCCTGCATCAGTAAATGTTATTATCATCTTCCCAGTTGTCCAAACCAGAAACCTGGGAGTCTTCCTCAACTCTTTCCTCTCCCATCCAATCTCACAATTATCACTACAATATATAGCAAGGATGATCTTTCTAAAATGCAAATCTGAACTTATTAGCCCTTTCTTAAAACAGCACTTCACCACCACAGAATACAACTCAATTTTTTTAATCATTGAAGAATATTGCTTTTATGATCAAAACTTAAAGGATTTGTATCTCCACATACCTACTCAATCAAAAAAACACTCTTCTTTCAAAGAAAATCTCTACTCCAAGTTCTACATTTCTCTTTGAGTCTATATTCCTGGAAACAACAATTTCACAGGAAGTTAAGAATTAAAGGTCACTCATCCCAACATTCAGGGACAACCTTTCTTTTTCTCCTACATAAATTTATTAATCAGGGCAGACCCTCTCCTCCTGCCCCACCCTCATCATCCTACCTGGTCCATCTGCAATGTTCTAATGTTGGTAGGCTTCTATTATTACGTAATAGAATCTTGAAATCAAATTGTTAGAGCCAGCAGGTATATCAGAGACAATGTTAGTCCAATCCTCTTTTATATATTAGGAAGTAAAACTCAGACTTGCCCAAGATTACATAGCAAGTTAGTGACAGAGCTGGGAGTAGGACAGAGAAATTATTCCCAGTTCAGTTCACTTCCACCCTACTATACTGGATCTCACACGTTTAACTCAGGATTATGAAAGATTTTTCTCTGGGACTCCAGTATTTAAGTCTTCCTTCAATTAGCTGGCCAAGCTGAATCAACACTATGCTATTTTTTTTCTATGTCTCATAAACTTGTAAGAGGATACCATTTCTTTTACTGAGGTCCAACAAATCTCTCTCCTCAATTCCTCCCTCCCCATTCGCCAGTCTATTGCTGCCCTCTAAAGCATCTTTAAGTAGTGAGTAGGTTTGGCCAACAGAAGGCCACAGATCTTCCACAGAGTTGCTCTCATAAATTGAGATGAACACACTGGTTACTTTTGGATCCAAGGCAATAGGTCTGACCAAAGAGAAATCTTTCCATATTACCTATAGAGACTAAGACAA